GTTTCAGAGTATAAAACAAAAGTACCAGGTTGGGGGAGGGTGGTTCTAACTAGCCAACCTCCTCAAAACAGCTTTTCAATGTGCAGTTAAGCATGGTACTCAATCTAGATTTTCCAGGCTGAATCTATAATTTAGATTCCAAGGCTTGTCATAGCTAATAGTTGTTACTCTTGATCATGTGGATGTCAGCTTTCATAAATATATGAGGCCTGTCTTCGCATTCAGTTTTCCAATGACCTTATAATATTGGCCCCAAAAAACAAATGTTGCTCCATTTATTCATTTAACAGTGTGAAAGCCTCCTCTGAAATATAAACATCCATGGGAGGTACCCCAACTTGTTAGTTCTAATGACTAAATTGAAGACAAAGAGAAGACTTGATACAGTTATTAGTTCTGGCTAATCTGCATCTACGGTCTTGTTAGATAAGATTTTGAGGCAATGCCATGTCAAGTTTTCAGGCCCACAATGAAGTGAGACTACCAAACGCATAAGACCTACCAATATTTTCTTAATATGTTTTTCAAATAATATTACTTTCTAACATAATATTCTCCTTGAAGAATTCTCCTCTGCTATACCTAAAAATACTAATACCTATCAATTTTATGTCACATTGCACTTTCTTAAGAATTTCAATGTTCTTGAGCCATATACTATCCCTGTGAGATATAAATAGAATAAGTAGAACTCCTCCTCCCACTTCACAGATGAGTAAATTAAGTCATAGATAGGAAAAATGAATCACTCAAAATCACACAGTTAGTTTGGGGCAGAATCACAGGTACTGTAAGTCAGGAGTTTAAGTAATTGGTATAATAATTATCCCAATTCACCAAGAAATCAACTTAAAATATGTTGGTGTTAATAGTGAGAAGTTGGTGTAGTAATTAAATAATCATTCCATTGATTTTGGTGTAGTAATTAAATAATCATTCCATTGATTTTAAGGATGAAGTAAACTCTATAGTTGATCATTTTCATGGTGGCACATTGAAAACAAAAATTAAATCAACTAATAAAATGGAAAGTCATTCAAGAGATATCTTGTTGAGTGCTCACTATGTGCCAGGCACAGTTCCGGATGCTTAGGATAGATATATCAGTGAATCAAGCTACTAAACAAGTAAAAAATCCCTGAGCTCATAGAGCATACATTCTAGCAAAAGAGATAAAAATGTGCAATTAATATAATGGCAATAAATAAAGTATATATGTATATATATTTGTATATATATAGTGCTAAAGAAGCACAAACAAAAAATGAAATTGGGCAAAGAGGATCAGGATTGCTGATGGGTAGACAAGTTGGAGTTTCATTAGGTTGGTCAGCGTTGACCTCGTTGAGAAGATGAGACCAGTGGATACACCAGGGAAGAGAGGACAACCAGAGAAAAGGCTCCACAGAGTATCCCAGTATGTTCAAAGAGCAGGAAGGAAGCCAATGTGACTGAAGCAATGTTAGCAAGAGAGAGAGTTGTGTGAGGTGAGGTTAAAGAAAGAGTGGGCAGAAAAACTTTGCAAGGCCTTGCAGGCTACCGCAAGAAATTCAGCTTTTATTCTGAATGAATAGGACACCATTGCAAGGATCTGAGCTGTTGAGGGGCATGCTCTGACTTAAAATTTTAAAGGGATCTATTATTAATCATTAAATACCTTAAGATATTTTACTCAATATATTATATAATTTTTGTCATATAAATGAATCACAATGGAGTGTCCTCCTCTTAGAATAAAATTCTATTATTCCCATTTTCCCAAAGAAAATATCCAGGCTCAAAATGTCTAGAATAAGAGCTGGTAATGATAGAGCCAGGTTTTTTTTTTTTTTTCTAACTCATAGTTCAAAACTGGTTCCTCTTTTCTATGTACTCATTTATGTCATAGTTATAAAGGAAAGAAAATAGTAACTGAGATTAATTAACTAGATTATTGATCAATAGAGAAGTTCAGTTTGAGACATTAAAATCGAATTGAGCCCATTTTTCCCATATTATTCATTTCTGGGAAATAATGATACAGGTAATTTCCCTGAGCTTTCTATTTGAAATGACATGTGTGCATTCAGACTAAAAATGTTGAATACAGAAGTAATCATGATAATAATTTAAACTTGCAACAGTACATTTAGAAAGTTCTTCAAAGTCTTTTAGCTATTATCATTTATTAACTGTCCACTAAATGCCAGTCTCTATGCTAAATTCATGGCATATGTCATATTTAAAATTCAAAAAAATTTAAGAATGTCATTAGAAATCCTCTTTCACAGATGACAAATATAGATCCAGAGAGGCTAGGGATTGAAAGGTCACACAACTGCTTAGCCCCAGAGCCAGGATTTTGCTAAATCTCCAGTCTAAATCAAGGTTCTCTACATTAAGTCACACTGCTCTTCTGCAGAGCGATACTCAACTTACAGCCTCAACATTCCTAACTAAAAGGTCAGCCAGATATAGGTAGTCCCATTTTCCAGAAATGAGCTGGTCACAGAAAAGTTAATCAAGCATCAACATTTATTTCATGACCACAATATGCAAATCAATACTTAGTTGCTGAGAAAAGAGGATTTATTTTACAATATCTTGACTCAATGAGCTTCAAATCTTAATAAGGTAACAAGAGAAACATAAAATGGTAATATATCATACAAGATAGCATATAATATGTACCAGTAGACATAGTGCCAATGACTGGTTAAAAAAAAATAAGAGAAAATTTAATCTGGGTGCTTCAATTCAGTTAAGAAAGATCTTTACTAAAAACGACTAGTGTTAAGATGATTTTCAAAGGAAAGGTAGGGTTTAGATCAGCAGAGGGGATGAGGAAAAAATGATTCCAGTCAGAGGAGATCATATGACTAAAAGCCAAGGGAATAGATGAGAATGAATTATCAAGAGAAAATAAATAGATGTGTTTGAAGGGCAGGAAGAATGGGAGGTGGGGTAAAGTGGTAAATGAAACCAGAGAAGTAGCCTGTGGAAATCCTTGTTAAATTAGCAATCTAAGGGAAGAGAGAAAGAATTGATATCATTGAACTGCCAATATGTAGCACACGCTTTATGTACAGTTTTTGTTTATATAATCAACTCAACAACTCTAAAGGTAACTATATCACAGCCACAGAAACAGGTGATATGGCCAAGGCACAGCTCTGTGTGTGAATGGAGCAGAATTCCAGTCTAGACCTGTCTTCCTCCAAGGAATATGTTCCTTCCACTATCCCTCACCACCATCTACCAAAGGAAATGGGAAGCCACCGTTGGCACTCGATCAAGAGAAGAGAGTGACGTATGAAAAGGAGTATAAAGCTAAAAGAAGACTGACCTGACTGTGAGATATTAGCATATGTTCAATATCAGAGGATTGAGGAAGGAAGAGAATAACTCAAGAAAAGCCACTTAGTGTATTGTATTAACCCAACTAACAAGGTAACATAAATCTCTATTTGAATGAAAGCATTGGAAATAAAAAGGATGCAAGATTTTACAAAAAAAATATAAGGAGATCAGTGGCAATACCTAAGTCCTCAAACAGGTAGTTTCTACTACCCAACCGTATACCCAGAGGATAAATACTCCTCTTAAAAATTCAAAGAGACAAAGGCTACAGGCTAACTTCGATATTTTAAAATTTGACAGCAGATGATTTATTTTAAAATAATACAATCTATGCCTTAGGAAAAAAATCTACCTTAGTGCAGACTACCTCTTAAACCACGATTGTGAATTATGAGAGCCTTACTTCTTACTTACTAGGCTTACTTCTCTTATATAAGTTTGGTCAATAGTTCATTGTCACATATGTTAACATGGATAGTAAACCTTATATTCATGTTTATTAGGCATATTAATTACTAATCAGATATTCTTTTCCTTTTTATTTTTCCTATTAGAAACTAAGCATATATTAAGCAACTGAATCCTTCCTTCAGTATACAATGTGTCATGTCTGTGAACATTATTCCTCTCTGGGATTTCTCTTTTAAAATGTAAGATATCACTCAGGGATTCAAGTAAAAAAACTAATAGAAATTAAATGACATATTATTGAACCAGTTGGGCCTCTTTCAACTTTTTTCTTACCCATGGACAATCCAAACCATACAGTTAGCAAATATATATATATACACAAATCTTTTCCAGCAACTAAGGATTGCAAAGTCACTAAAACTTGCAATAACCAGATTAACTATATAAATCTTCGATTACTATCAACTGTTCAACTAATTTGTCTTAATTTTGAATTAACTGTGAGACCAAACATCTTAATGATTATGAAACAAACAAGTGATAATTATAATCATTAAAATTTAACATATTACCCAAGCCAAATTTTCTTTCCCTTTTTGAGTAAAAATACATTTTTCTAAATAGAAAACTAATGTTTAAATTTGAAATCAAACTGTGCCACAATCTAAAAATTTAGACTTATGTCTAATGTATATCTGAAGTGTCTTTGAAAGTTTCAAAAACAACAAACTTGTGCGTATTTTAGAAATATCACTTGCAAGTGTAAAGAAGCATCATCATAGAATGCTAAAAAGTGTATTTGTTAAAATACAACCACTATATTCTTATATTTTTTATGTTCCTTATTTCTGTGTATCTGAGCTGATATGAAAATATGATCAAAGGAAGTATACTTTCTTTACATATGAAATATACTTTCATAGGTATATCTGCTCAATAAAGCTAGATTTTAACATACTCTAAGTGTAAGAAAGTTAGCCATTTAAAATAAGTTAATTTAAAAACTATTCATGCAGAAAGTCTGGGCTCCATATGACTTTAGTCATTCTATGAAAGATATGTTAAATACATTATGTATGTATAAAAGGAATCACAGATAATGTTTTTTCATATATCTTACTTTCTATTTTCTATAATTTTATATACACAGTGATGCATTCATATACAAAATGTATTAAAATAGGAATATTACCCTTAACTTTTAAAGCCATTATTTTATGAGAGTTTTAAAAAAGGAAAACTATTTTTACCTCCCAGTCCTGGTCTAAGCCGATTATCGTAACCATCCAGAAGTCTGTCAAGAATTCTTGTAAAAATGGTAATGTTATTTTTAGCCTCATCTTCTTGGATGTTAGCCAGCACCAACCTAAACAGATAATTTTAAAAGCTTATATATATACATACGTGTGTTTTGCAAATGCCAACCTGCTTTTCTTCCTTAATTTAAATTTTAACACTCCCTGGGCTATTAGTACCACCCGTTTCCCCCCCCCCTTTTTTTTTTTTTTGTTAACTTCTATAAATACTGGTATGTCTGCAAACAAGGTAAACATGAAATTGAAATAGATTCTAAACAGTAGATTATCAGAAGTTTCATGTTAACATTATTTGAGATTCTTATCCCTTTAACATTGCATGTGGACTATTCATTTTCTTTCTAAACCCATCTCCTGGGATATATTATGATTGTAGATTAACACATGCAAACACTATTAGCATTGCTATCCTATAGTTAGAAAATTCCAGTAATCAGACTCGTGAAAAACTGTTTTCAATATTAATTGGGAAATAAATTGCTTTTTGAAGGTAAATGTATTTTCTATCTCTCTCATAAGAGTCTTTCTTTTTTGTATGTCTTTTTCTCTTTTAAAACAGGATTTTTTCCTTACTTTGGGTATACCTCCACCCAATGGCCAAGTGCAATATAGACATCAGGGAAACTCCACTGGCTATGTGCCAGGCTCCATGTAGCCAGGAGGTGGAGGTGGGCTCTGAAAGCATCAGCAACACATACACAGCTGCAGAGATCCTTAGAGCCTAGTTCTTCCTGATTGGTCTCTGAGAAGAGCAATATTGTAAAGATTAAAATGCCTAGTTATTTTGTTTTGGTGATAAATTTGTAGAAAGAACAAATGTTCTCAAAATATCACCAGAAAAGCTTTAGAAATTGTGATTTTCTCCATTATTTCTCCATCATAAAGCCAAACCCTGATTCTATCACATGCAGTAATTTGTTGCAGAAGCAACTAAATGTATAAAACAGAATGTCCATTTTCATTGTCTTTTTTTTTTCCTCAGAATGAATCAGATATTTAAATTACTGGCCCCAAAAAGGAATCATTTATATAATAGAATACAAGACTGGCATAAGCACTACTGGTCAAATATAGAACAGAAAACTAGTTGAGAGAAATATGGTTAAACACTAAGATTTTCAATGATTATTAATTGATCATGGATTGTCCACTCTTTTAAAATAAAAGTAATATATAATTACATTCTGATCAAGGCACATTGTATAAAATATTATCAAAAGTGTCCATTTGCATTTAAATGATAACAGAGCTAGTAGCTATAAGCAGTCACAATACATCAAAAACTGGTAACCAACCTCAAACAAATATTGTCTTAAGAGCAGAGAAAATATTAAAATATTGAAATGAAGATAAACATCTACAAATTAAATAAGTGTATCACTTTACACTCTCTAGCCTCAAAAGTTTCTGTATTGCCTACTTAGTAGCTAATTTTAAAACCAATAAGTAAGATTTTCATAAAGTTCCACATAGAGCTTTTCGCTTGAAAGTGTTTTTTAATCACATTTTGTATTTTCTTTCTCAAACCAATATGCAGTCATTAAATTAGTAGATATTTTCCAAATAAAAACAAGGCTTTACGAGATAGATGGTGTCTCAATTCTATGAAATGTTTTCATACTTTGACCATTACTCGGACAATAAAATAAAAAGTTAAAAGATAAATAAAGATATAATAAAGACTTACTAGTTTTTTAAAAATAAATAGTGACAAGAACATTCTTATAAAACTTGTATCTTAGGTCTTCTGATATTATGAGAATCATATCCTAAAGGCATTAAAGAAAAGATGCCCACTGATGATGAAAATCAGGAAAGACTACAAATAAAATGAAGTTACTGAAAGAAATAAAAATTAATTTCATGTTTTTATAGCATAGGCAAAAGAAAATTCATTACATATTTTAAATCAGTACTCCTGATTGTAAGCATTTGAGAAAAAAATCTTAATAATGCAAAAAGTTGATGATTAATAAATCTAGCTTTTGTTTTATTGTTTGTGATTGTGAAGTTGCATTCTACCTCCACCTAGAGGTTTAAGACTCACACATCATTTGGGTTTTCTATGGTGACTAAAGGAGCCATACCATTAAAAAAAAAAAAAAAAAAGAAAGAAAAGAAAAAGGAAAAAAAATAGTTAACACTCAAATCACTTAGCTGGTACTTTTCTGTCAGCTTGAAGGAAAACTTGGCTTCCTTACCGAATCCTGGTGTTATATTATAAGTGCCTATACTTAATTACTTCAATTCCTTGTAGGAATATGCCATTGAAAGGATTTTCTTTTCTTCTGTGAATGTTCTGCATGGAAAATGCTTCTGTTTGCTTTTGGATCTTATCACTAAGAACGAGAAGCAGTGAAGTTTTTATAATCTACTACTTCATAGTTCACTTTCCCCATACACCCCCTTTCTGAGAAATAATTCTTTAAAACACCTTGATTTTCAAAAGCATTAATGGCATACAAGAAACACATCTTTACCCTGAATTAAAATAGTCAAATACAATAAATATCTCACCTGGCAGGGTACCACACCAAGAAAACAAAAAGCAGCAACTGCAGGTTGTAGATGTTCAATTTCGTCTTCATCACCGCCGCTCTTTACAAAGCCATGAAAGGAAAAACAAAATACACTTAAAATTGCCTTCAGTTCCACTATCCAAGTAACCCCAAAGAATATCCTTTTAGTTAGGGATTCGTGTTAAAGCTACGGAGATTACTTCCTGGACTGTGTGTGGGACTTGATGATTGCGAGAAGATTTCTTTTTTATCGACCCCCACCCCCACCCTTTTCCTTTCTCCTTCTTTCTTTCTTTCTTTCTTTCTTTCTTTCTTTTTTTTTCTTTCTTTTTTTTAACAGCAAGATGACCAAGTAATCAGACTTCTCTCTGCCAGGAATGTCCCCCAACCTCATCGTCAGCAAACACTGTTTTGCGCACACATGTAATAATAACACCCTGGACTTTAAATTGACATAGCAACTGGAAAGGGAATGGGTTGGAGGGGAGGGGAGGAAAGGAGAGGAGAGATGGGTACTTCACGCCACAACCCCCTCAACCAAGACCACCTCCGCAACCACAGCGGGAAAAGCTAGGGGCAGGCAGCCCACTTTTGCAATTATTCTTTTCATTACAGTGAACTGCAGTCCTCACGTTTTCGTTTCTTCACTCCCCTTAACAAAATAAAATAAAATAACATCCTTCCTTGCCCACCCACGGTTGCCCAAGACCAAGTCTTGGAGGCAGCCGGGTTCGGATCAAGTGCTGCGAAACGACGCGTTTGACAGCTGCTCCGGAGCCAACGATCACAATAAGAGAAGGAGCTTGAGGCTCCGGCAGCAAACATCAGCCAGGCAGGCAGCGGTAATCACAGTGTGCAAAGTTGAAGACTATAAAAGAGCCAGGCTAACGTGCTGCCGGGCAGGTGTCCTGGATTTTATTGTAGTTGCAAATATGCTTCTGGTGATAAGTATCGAAATTATTTTTTAAGTGCGCTGGGTAGGAGGGAGGTGCGGGAATTGAGCCTCCTCCGTTTCCAGGGAGCCTCTGAAAGTGGGGTGGGGGAGATGAGGCATGCACGCGAGGCAAAGACAAACAGGAAAGGGGCTCTATCAGGACCAACGTGTGCGACCCTACCTGAAACAGCAAGCAGAATTCGGTGTTTTCTTTCTTTTGCCCTGATCTTGACGAGATAGGAAACTTGAGAGAGAGAGACAGACAGACAGACAGAGAGAGAGAGAGAGAGAGAGAGAGAGAGAGAGAGAGAGAGACTGAGACTGCAGCAGCCAAGCGAGCGTGGAGCGATGGGCTGGTGGAAGCCGGAGAGGAGCGCTAGGAGCGGCGGCGGCGGCGTGAGGTGTAGAGGGAGGCAAAGGCGTTCGTAGTGGCGGTATGGGCGGAGGAGGAGGAAGAGGAGGAGGAGGAAGAGGAGGAGGGGGAAAACGATGACAGGAGCTGGGGCAGAGGGGGGGGAATTGGGGGGACGCGGGCGGAGGCGCGGTGCGCGCCGGCGGTGGCGGGCACGAGCCCCGCGCCTGGAGGAGGAGGAGTCAGGCCGGGTAGCAGGGCTAAGGAGGTTCCCGGGAACGCAGGGACCCCCCCCTACACACCCACTCCCCTGCCTCGATCCCTGGTAACCGACCGTCGCCCGCCTGGCACTAGCAGCGGCGCAGACCCGGGCGGCGTCGGGCGCCCGGGTGCGCTCGGAGCGCAGCTCCCCTCGCCCACGCCGCGCAGGAGGAACTGAGCCCACGCGCCGCCCCGGGCTGCTCCCCGAGGTCGCTTTCTGGGGCTCCCGAGAGCCCCCAAGGTTCCTGGCAGGGCTGCTGGTGGGTGTTGGTGTGAAATGCAGTGTGGCTGTGATGCCCTAGATCCCTGGGGCCGCGCCCTGCCGCCCGTCCCCCAACATCACCCTGCTGTGGAGCGACGTGGCTGCTAAGAGGTAAAGAGGTTCCGCTCCCGCTGGAGAGCAAGGGGACTAATCACGCCTTTACTTAGTCATCAGCGCATCCACTCAGGACCAAGTTCAAAGCATGTTGCGTGAAATCAGACAGCAGGAAGTTTCTTTTGATTTCCTGAACCCTCCTGATATATCATTCATTCCTTCACACTACTGCAATCAAGACCGATTTCCCCTGAAAGCTCTAAAGCTAGAGAAGTCCCTTGAGCCAGTCAGTAAAGTCCATTTGCAGATTACAAACACACCTTGGGAAACCTCCCGCTCACTTCCAGCAATCCTTTTCCAACCTCTTTTCACAGGCGCCCTCCCTAGCAGGTGATCAAACTCAATCAACAGCTCCAAAAGTTTACATTACCCCGGAGCAAAAAGGGACCTGCTGTGTTTCTACTACCTCTGCAACTCATTCCCCAGGGGGAGGAAAGGTAACAAGGTTTGAGGTTTTCCCCCTTTAGGGCTTTTCACTGGCAAAGGGACTTGGAATTCCAGTCCCATCTTACACTTTCAGCACTGTGTGTTTGATCTATCTTATTTCTGTTCTATTTTATATGAGGTGACAAAATCCAAACGTGCAACTTGAACAGAAAAAAAAAAAAAAAGAGAGAGAGAGAGAGAGACATTTTCCTTTTTGTACTGCACATAAGACAAAATGTTATGCACATTCTACTAAGGCAAAGCAGAGTCAGTGTTTATCTCCTCCAGAAGTTGTTATAAACGTTAGACACTTTAAAGGAAAAAAAAAAAAGAGAGAGAGAGAGAGTTAAGTATGCTGATATGTTTCTGTCATTTTACATTCAGAGTCAATATGTGCCAAACACTTCAATTTTGTTAGTTATGCACCAAAAATTCAGATGTTTTTCCTAGATGGAGCAGTTTTTCTAACAGGCACTGCTAATCTACGGTAAATTTTAGCTTTGCTTTGAAGATTATGGGAGGAGAGTAAAACCTTTACATTGTAAATATTTCCAGCTGTCCTTTTTAACCTATTAATCACCACTTTCTGGATGAGCATTTAATATGTTACAACCTAAACAAACATTTACTCTCTTATTTAGCTTGCTCTGTGAAGAGTGGAACACCACCCAGCTCTCTCCTCCATCATTAATATTCCTTTCCTGACTTGCCCATTGCAGAGCCTAATTGAAATTCACAAAGATAAAAAGCATGCCATTTAAAACCTTGCAACCAGAGAACCTTAAGTGTCTTATACTTGGCATGAACAGTTCACTTCCTACTGTATTTTCCTACTTTCCATTTCTGTGAGTCAATCTTCATTAAGATCTCTATCACTTCTCCATTTATATTATTAATAAATTGTTGATATTTTGATAATGAAAGTTAAGCAGTGTATGGTTCTTCCCAGCCTTAATTGCTGTTCTCCAGCAAAATTTTTCTTTAATGAATGTCATAATTTTTGTAAATATATTCATATATTATTCTAATACTTATATGGTCTTATCCTGGATTGTAATATCAAATTATAAATGTTAGTTTTAATTTTTTTCATTCAACATTTATCTAAATGGGAATGGTTTGTTCTGAGAAATTAGCTTTTCCCTTTAGCACCCTTATTAAATGTGTAATTTCAATAACATATGACCCTCTTACATGACACTTCACAAAGTTCAAGCTGCTTTGAATGATTTTCACCATTTTGATTTTTTTTCTGTAAGTGTATGTTACTACATCGCACAGATTTGGAGATGCATTTACTGGAGAAAGACCCAAAGTAAAAACTAAATTTAATTTTTTTCATTATAAAACCTTGATTTTCAGTTCTCACAAAACGTTTTACAATTTTAAATGTTGGATAGCTGTAACTTAAACTTCAAAGCACACTAAAGGAAATGGAACTAGAAAAGCTGCTTGTGGGCAGCAGGTTTCTACTGCTTAAGCCATATCTATACTGTTATTTTGTTGTATTACTAGCCCAGACAAATTTCTCTGGAAATTTGGAGGATTGTCCAGCTTCCTCAAACGTCTGACAAACTCAACCAGATTTTATTCTCTGCTCTTTGTGATAGAGTGCAGGTTAACTGCCTGAGATCTGAGCCAGGCTGTGTGGGTCGTGACTAAACTCTTCCTACCCACTCCTTTTAGAGCATGTCCTAAGGCAACCAATCCTGAGGAAGAATTGACAACTAATTGGCTGCCAGTAAATCCATTCCCACTCAGGCTTGGGCAGCACAAAATCTTCTGTTTCAAACCAGTTTGAATTACTGATCAACCAATTAGGTTGGTGGGTGGAGGTGGTCACTTCTTACATATTCCCCAACCCCAACACTGAAATCCCTAAGGAAATTTCCACATAAAGACCATGAATAAAAGAAAGCTGAAGAATTGGGAGATCTTGGTTTTGTCTGATTTCTTATGAGCTGATGTCTCACAATATTGTACAATTTTAAGATTTGTTATAAAAACTGTTCATGTTCTTGAACAGATATTTTGTACAGCTTCCATTTTTAGAGCTCAGCCTAGCGTTACTGCTATAGAGAGCTACTACTTTATATGCCCTATTGAAGACTTAATCTTTAAGCTTCCTATAGATTGATATGTGTATATAAGTATATATATTACATATGTATATATAATACACCTATATTTTTGTACACTTATATGCATACATACATATATGCAAATATACTAATATATCTGTAGATAGATAAACATATATCAGAACTAATAAAAATAGACATGAATATTTTAATAAGAATAGCATTTAAATATCACAATTCTACAAAATACATTTAATCTTACTACTACATGAATTGAATCATGATGATCTTTACATGCTTTGAAGAGCAGTATCATAATTACTTCAACAAGAATAGCATCTCACTATATTTAACTTTTAAAACTCTCAGTACATATTTCATATAATAAATTTGTGTATATTTTAACTACATACATTCTTTTGTGATTCATTCATTTGAACGAGAATACAAATTTATGAAAAATTAGGAACTGAAGCACAGATTATTCTGTTTTCAAACAATTAAATATTATCTTCTACTTTTTCCCATTGAACGATTTACTAATTTCAAAATGGACCTGGAGTATATGTCAGTTCTCACATATTCACCACATTACCAAAAGACAAAACAAAACAAAACTGGTGCAATTTCTTAGTTGACAATTATCAATTCAAAATCAGAACTGGGTCAAGAACTGTTTTTCCCATATATTGCATTTAGATGGAGGCTTAGGCACGAAGGTTCTAAAAGAAGAAACAGCTGTGAAGTGGAAGTAACTAGTTTCACAAACAAATAATACCAAAACTACTCTCTTACATTCATGGATCTAGGTCGCATTTCATCATATACACATATATATATATATACTTGCTTGGATAAACTATGCACATTACCTTCAAATAGAATTAGTAACTCTGTTTATCAAGTAATTTTACAAATTCTCATCCAACTTGCAAATTGAATATATCAAGCATTCAGGATATCCTGGTGGTTTCTGAGATTTTTAAAACAATTTACATTATGACACACATAAGAATTATTTGTAAGAAAATTATTTTGCTTTCCTTTTGTGAAATTATAGGTATAATTTATTTTTAGGTTAATGAATTTCTTCCTAAAACAAAGATAAAACTCTGCTAATTCAAACCAAAAATGTCCTCATTGAAAATTATGCTTGTTAATGAAGTATAAGCTGCTACATGATCAGCAGCTTTACCTGTGAGACATGTCCTTTAAATAATATTCATAGTAATGACAAGAATAAAAGGAGACCTGTAATGTCTTCATTGGTATAATAGGCTTAGATTCCCATTCTAAATGTTTGTATTAACTATATAATCTTCAAAAGTAGGAAGTTATTATTATTCCATTCACTGATAAGGAAGGTTTAGACACAGCAGAAATATTAAGCTGACTCAAGATCTGACAGTGCTGGCTGCAGAAGGGAGTAGAGGCCCTGGCAATTATGGCTCTGAGTTTCATAACTACTGATACTCTATGTAGATAACACCTTATCATGAGCAGTTATCAGACAAAGGCAACAACAATAACAACAAAATCAGAAAACAGAGAGAGTCCAGGACCCTAATTTGAACCCATTTATAAACACCTCAGGTGCGAGTAAGATGTCGGTCCAACTGAAGGATTATTCCAATAT